TTGGCCCGTCTATCACCAACATAGGCCAATCAGCTAACCAGTATTTTCGCCCCTTCCCAAAACTACTTCTACGGAAGGCTTCCAGATGGATATGCAGAGCAAATCCATCTGGCGGAGTCAGGTTACATCATTGTAGCTCCAGCTGTCTGAAATAGCAGCTTTCTTTGTTTTCACAACATGGCTCCCTTGCTTCCCTTGTAGTCAGCCATTTTAGAAATCTGCTCTCCCTTCAGTTATTCTCCTGACCAGTTTCTGTAAACCTCTGGTACCTCACTTAAGATAAACAGAGTTGAGAAAATGCCAACTTTTCCTCATCACAACTTCTCCCTGTCTTTAAAATCCTGTTGTCTTTCGTTGTTCCCTCCCTTTTTTTTTCCTCCTTCGGCACACAACCTCTTTATAGCCCTTCTTGCCATGCTGCGATAATTAGTCAGTGCTAAAATAATACAGCCTCAAGAAATAAGAAAAGGAGCTGAGGAGAGGGCTTAGCTCTGCTGGGAGGAAACAAGGGGTGGCAGGGAGGGGTGGTGAGAAGGAGAGAGAACCTGGGGAGAGCGCTGTGTGTCAGCCAATTTGAAATGGCTACCAGTGGATTGTTGCTGAACGAGTGCCTGCTTGTGAGCGTGCAGGAAGACAGCTTGTGCCCAGTCTTAATCAGGATTCTCTTCTTCGTGTACCACTGAGCAGTCCTTTCTTCCCGTGGATGTGGTCAACCTGCAGTCATCACAGCTCCTGCCTTCCATTCTTCCTAAAAAATGAAAACCCTCCAAAAGAGATATTGTAGGCCTAGAAAATGTAAAGAAATGCAGATGGAGGGAGGAGTATACAGATGTCAATCAGCTGCTCTCATAAATAAGCATCAGTTTGTTCAGGAAACTGCTGTCATGCTCTGTTGTCTCTATTCACGTCTCTGCATATATAAACTATAATTGTGTAATCAGCAGATTGGCTAAACAGCTACATTTTATGGCCTTTCTCCCAATATAATTTCATTTAAATCCAGCAGGGGAAACGGTCATTACCATCCTGACCAAAAAAGATTGAAACCCGGTTGATGTGTGTCTGCATGTCGGTGGCCTCAGGTTTTTTCCACTGCATAGAAATGTGGCTGAATCCCTTGTTTACTTATGTATTCATATAACTACATGCTGTACCTGCATTAATATCTTGACACGCAGCCTATGTGTGTGTATTTGTGATGCTAAGGATGGAGACAGCCTGCAGGGTTGAGAATGGTTCACTGTGGTTTCATTACTCTATGCTAATCACACCCAGCAGCCATCATTTCTCATTTACCTGTGGACTCATTGGAGCCAAACTCTAACCCCTCCATTACTGTTCAAACATGAAATTGCTAATTTTTTGGAAGAGGAGCACATTTTTAAAATATTTTCTGTCTTTCATTATACAAGCACTAAGAATTACTGAGGTACATTGTCTTTATCTATTACTTAGACTTGTGCTGATCTTAAATACGCAGTTAAACTCTTAGAATACTCCATTGCTTCTCAATTTAAGATTTTGAAATTGTTTTCTCAGATTTAGATTATTTTTCAATGTCAAATTAATAAAAAATTGTATTCTATTTTATCATTTTAATTTTTTTCTTTTTCAAACCTTATTTCTTGATGTTTTTATTTGACTTTATATGATAGTTATTTTTCAAAATACATTTTTTTTTTATTATGTTTTACAGATCACATCTTTTAACTAATTATGGGGGGCTGTTTTCCTTTAAAAGTGAAAAATAATTTAAAAATGAAATGAAAAATGCAAAAAGAGAAAAAAAATTAATCTGAGAAAACATATTTATAAAAAATATTTCTTTTGATCGAGACATTTTCAAAATTTAATTTCTGGAGTTCATTTTTTATTTTATATCCATTTGATTTCTTTTCTTTTTTCAATTGCAAAAGTAAATGAAGACAATGAACACCAAGCTTTATCCATGTTTTTTTTCTTGTCAGGGTACGCACAAGAATTTTTAGTTGTGTTTCAGTAGAAAACATTGAAGACCTTATAAGACATGGCTGTCTACCTAACCCAATTAACTATGTTCACAATGCAGCCTGAAGTGACCCAAATCCGATAATTTTTTGCCCATATGCGACTTGTATCTGATCTTAGTCGTAGTCTTAACAATACAGATCTGATTTTTTCCAATGCCACCCAGGCCACTTTGTGGTCTGACCGCTATGTGGTCTGAATCCAATACGCATCTGATCTTTTCAAATGTGACCTATGTCTGAATGGCCAGGTCTTGTTCATCCAACCTGAACATCATTAATACTCAACAGAGGTCAATATTCTGCATCTTGCTATGCAGAAGGGGGAAGAAAAACAATAACCTTGGCGGCAGGTAATACGGAGAGTAGTATTTTTTTTTTACCATTTTGAAAAGATTAAGTTTTTAAGGTTGGGAAAGATTGTTAGATGTGCTCCAGCCATACCATCCATGTTTACTTCCGTAAACACAGAGCATGCTTGCTTTTGATGTCATTGTGTCCTCTACTGCGCATCCAGGACACTTGCGTTGTATGAATGCCGTTTACACAGGAGATCACATACAAGTTGCATATATTTGAAGAAAATACAAAAAAACCTGGATTTCACAAAAAAAAATCAAAAATGAGCATTAAGGCCTGCAGCATGAACGTAACCTTAGTGTCATATGCTTTCTCTAAAGGGCAGTAGAGATATGTACCTCAGGTGGGACACTGATGAATTGCGCACTCCATAAATCTGGCTTTTATTGAAAAGTGTCATAAAAAAGGAAAAATATGTCTTGCTGAAGTTTTACCACTAGCTAAAAAGGAGTGAAAGCTGATTTGAATCAAGTGCTCTGGTCAGATGAAAGCTGAAATGATCCATTAGAAAGACTGAGTTCTTTGATTGTTGGAAAACTAACTCCTCATCGTTCTTAACACAAAATCTGAACATGAAAATCTGGTGATGGTGTCAGCACTGGGTTTGCACGGATGCTTTTCTTAACTAAAGACAGAGAAGACAGTCAGGATTGATAGATGCAAAGATGGATGGAGCAAAATGCAGGGCAATCTTTAAAGAGAGAGAGAGGTCAAAGACTTTTGCACTTGGAAAACATCTATATTCCGATATAGCAATTAAGACATTGGAATGGTGGCTTGCCGTCTTTAGGTCAGAGAGAGTTCCTGTCGCAAGTGGAGGAACTCAAGTATCTGTTTCCGAGTAAGGGAAGAATTAAAAGGTTATATTGATAGGCAGATTGGAATGGGTGCTTGTGTGACCTCTCATTCTTTCAGTTACTGTATCACGAAGGTTCCCCGGAGGGTGGCTGGACACTCCCTTAGAGATAGAGCGATAGCTGAGGTTGCTTTGACAATTGCAATGAGTGCCTCCTGGATGCCTCCCTTGGAAGGTCTATCAGGAACGTCCCACCAGGAGCTGGACAAGGGGACAGCTCAGGACACACTAGAGGCACTATAGCTCCATTTTGAAACGTGCCGAGATTGGTCTGAGTACAGTGACCGAGATAAATGTTGAGTGCAAATGGCAGGCACAACTGAACCGGACCACATGAGACACAACCGAACCACGCTAAACTGGTACTAGTTCATCAGTAGGGCTCAGCACAGTTCAATTCTGGCATGGTGCTCAGATAACAAAAAGTGCATGAGTTGACTGCGTCATCTCCTTACAGTCAGCCTCCGTAATCATGAATCTTCAGACATTCATAAAAAAAAACAGCTTCCCTACCATGCCACATGATTTCCAGTCATGATTCTGCTCAGCAGTGTGATTAACCTCAACGTCCATCATTGTTTCCTGCATCTGTAAGCCCTGATTAGACTATTGTTTGTCGTATCGACTTCCCAAAAGCCGACTCTGTCAAGTAAATTCACCAAAGGCTGCCTTCTTTGCCTGACTCTGCACAAACAACGAAATATCACAATTATAACCAAACACAACTTCCTGAATGTTACGGGGGCCACCATGTTGATTTGCTTGTTTACCTCTAGAGAGCAGTAGTACCAAAGAACACCACTAGGAGGCGATGAACTGTGCCAGCGTGGTGTATAAATGGCTGTAAGGAACTGAGCTCAGCACGGTTAAATGATCCAAGCTTGGCACAGATCGGTTTTAAGACGGTAGTTTAAATGGGGCCTATGTCTTCAGGCTGGCCTTGGGATGCCTTAGGCGTCACCCAAAGGAGTAGGAGGAGTTGTCTGGGGAAAGGAAAGTCGGGAGTCTCTGCTGAGACTGCTGCCCCCACGACCTAGTCACAACTAGTATGACTACTAGTACATTAGAAAGGGTCATATATTGACATTCAGGGTATGTTATGACTCCAGTCAAATTGGTGTTTTTTTTTATGTTTATCACACTTTATTAGTTTGTGTTTGTCGAAAAATTAAAAGCCCTTTCTGGTAAATTTTTCCACCTAACAGCTTTGCAAAACCTTTTATTGGTCTTTCACATAACATCTCATTTAAATACAGATTGTACCAAGAATGCAATTGAGATGCCAATAAGAGTTACGAATGCTCTTGCAATGCAATATGTGTCATTTTGGTCACAGTAAGGGTGTGTTTAATAAAATGCCACTGACTTTCAAATAAATAGCTGCACTTGTATTTCTGAGTGTTGAATTCTTTTAGTTGTTGTTCCGCAAAAATCACATTTATTGTAGTTGAATGGAAGCAATATATGACAAATTAGAGTACACGGATTATTTCCACAAAGTGCTCAACACAACAAAAGCGCTTTTTTTTATCAGAAGTGGAAGCACAGACGCTAGCTGAAATGTTTTGACAACACAAAGAGAAGAAAGCCTTCTTTACAGTGCAGGAAGTCAAATTTGCACTTCTTTGTTGTTCCATCTTTATAGTAGTTTACTATTTGCTGTTTTGTTTGAGAATGCATCTGTCATCAGTTTTCCTTTTTTTTTTTTTTACATTTTACCATAATAATGTCTTATTTCATTTGTCCTAACGTTGCTGTTTCTTCCGTTTCTCTGGCAGCTGGGACAACTTACATCTTTGGACGAGGCGGAGCCCTCATCACATACACCTGGCCACCCAATGACCGGCCGAGCACACGGGCAGACCGGCTGGCAGTGGGCTTCAGCACGCAGCTGAAGGAAGCCATTCTGGTCAGGGTGGAGAGCGCCAAAGGACTGGGAGATTACCTGGAGCTGCACATAGTAAGATGCATTTTCCTGGCAGTATTAGAGGGCATGGGGCTGACGGTGAAAGTATTCAAATTTTCTCTTAAAATATAATCAAGTTTACCCCTAGATAACTGAGCTGGTTATATGAGTAAACCCGGATTCCCAGCTACACTAAGTATTGTTAAATGTCCTTTAAATGACATTTAGATTTCTGCTTCTGCTTTCAGTGGCCATTAAGGGGGGGGGGGGGGGGGATTAGTCCAGAAATGAGCTGATTATACACAGACATTTCGTGTTATATCTCGTCATAGCCATAATTTCTGCTTTACAGCTTTCATATGTTGTACTTAAAGGTCATTAAAAACCACCTCCAATGATGGATTGAAATGGCTATTAAAGGACAACAGGCATTTCAAAAGGCATTTAACAGGGATCTAATTGTATTGTTGACCTCTATGCTTCCTCTACCCTAATATTCTGCTAATTTTCATGGTGGGTTTTGTTTTAATTACCATCCAGGATTACTGCTGTTGTCTCTGAGATATGCTGCATATTATTGGAGTCTAACAGCCGATGAACAGGTGTACAACTGAATGGTTAACTTCACAAGATGATGAAGGTGATGTTGCAGGGATAAAATGGGAGAAGACACAGTAATCCCCCTTTATCTGAACACACTGCTGTCGGGGAGCGCGCTCACACCTCCTTAGCTCCGCAACGACCCCAATTTGTTTGGGCTGGCGTACCTGGGAGCAACAGGAACGACGTTGACCTCCAGGTCACTCCTCATCCAGTGCTTCGTAAACTGAGAGTGACAGGGTGAGGGACAGTGGGAAACAGAGAGGGATAGGTGGGTGAGCAGAGCCGCCGAATTGACCGTGTGGGTCAAGGCCAACCTAAATGCTCTCAGGCGTCAGTGATAAACGCTGATAATGACTGTAATGTCCAAAGATTATAGTTGTAAATATAATGGACTCAACAAATAGAGCGGGGAGGGGTGAAGTGTGTGATGCATCAGAGGTCAACTGCAGATGCCCGAAGCTGTAATGGTTCATTTCCTGTGATGTGCAGTCATCCGTTTGCTGTTTTTAATATTTCAAAAATGCGTTTGTACTTTAAATGTTTGGTAGAGCTGCTTCTGAGACATGAGAGAACATAATGGGAAGATATTGCCTTAAAGGAAAGTATTCATTGCAAACTAACATGGTTTCTAGTACAATGATTAATGTTAAACAAACTCAGACAATTTTTAATACTACAGTAGTAGCCATTCAAAATTTCCCCATTTCCCTTGATGGGCCCTTCACTGGTCCCTTACAATTTCCTTTTAAACATCAATCTTTGTACTAAAATTTTCTTTCTGTGATGATTTGTGGACATTAAGCTCTAAAGAGAAGCATAATCTCCTGGTCAGATCCTGTAAATCAGTGAAAGGATGGAGTCAGAGTGACAAAATATGAAAGAGTGCCTGTAAGTTGGAGGGGATGTTGCTGGGAGTTCCAGGGAATTGACTGGGAAGGGCAATTTTGAATGGCTGCAACTGTACTGCTGCTGACTTATGGTTCAGTTATATGGTCTGTTATTGTTGTCATTGATGTTTTAAATAATACAAAAACACATGAAAAGTAAGGGAAAGAAATGTTTTATGTGCTCATGAAGGTGGTTTTCTGATAGTGATCAGTAAAAGAGGGGTAATGTTGGTCTGTTTTCATAAAACGCAATCGATTGTGACCCAGATGTATTTCTGGTTCCATCGGCACTGTTACACCCCTGATCTAATTGAAGAGCTGATTCTGTTTAGAGAGCCGAGTCAAATGAGCCTCCATCAGTGTTTACGTCCAGTTCCTTTCAGTCAAACATCTTTTACAGTAGCAGCCATTCAAAATGGCTCCCCCCAATCAAGCCCCAAACAAATGGCAGCCCACTTCCCTGCAACTCTCAGCAAAATCCCGTCCAACTTGCAGCCACTTGAGTGACCCCCTCTTTCTCCTGGATGTGCATATTTTTTTTGACTCTGACTCCACCCTTTCACTGGATTAGAGGGTCTGACCCGGAGATGATGCTTCTCTTTAGATATTAATGTCCACAAATCATGACAGAAAGGATATTTTAGCACAAATATTGATGTTTAAAAAGGAATTTTAGGGAACCAGCCAAGGACCCATAAAGGAAAGACAAAATTGCCGTTTTTATTGTTTCACTGATTAATGCTTAATTCATTGAATCATTGCAAACGTAAAAGTTTTAGGTCCAGAATGGACTTCTTCTTTAAAACCCCATCTCAGAAAAGATAAATCAGAGAAAGTTGGTTTCATTTGTCAGTACGTACACGTGACAGGCACAGTTTTTTAACGACGTAGCCCCACCTACCTTTGCTACTCGCTGGCGCCAAAGGCCATGGCATATGTACAAGAGGGTTTTCCTTGGTTCTGTGTACACCTTTGTGGGCCCTATGCCCTTTGAGATACAATCTTTGCCATTGTGGGATCTAGACCTCACAAAATAAGAAGATGTTCTAAATCAGATTTGGTTTCGGCTTCAATATTATGGTCCTACACATTTAGGATTAAAATTATGCTTAAAAATAATTTAAATTAGCATTTTTTAGAACACACATGTGAAGAAAACATAACATAGGTATAATAAACTCATTAAAATGTGTGAAATATTATGCCTCAGTCGGAGTACAGTTCAAAGAGATTGAGTGATGTTCCTCTCGATAGCTCCGGTCTGTGTGATGCTGCGCTCCGGCTTTTGTACACAACCAACTGAAGCTCACACGCCATAGGAGTCGCCAGACCTTTTTAACAGAAGCACATGCCGCAGGATATGTCTTCTGTTTCCCATTAAGGAACAAGCTGTTGCCCCTTTACAGCAGCAAAGCACCTTAAGATCCACTTGAAAACATAACAACTAAGCTCAACTGTGGAAAATATAAAAACTAGTATAAAGATGTATGCACAGCACGCTACTGTTTTTGCAGCGTGAAGTCATTTACATCATAAAGATGCAAACATTTAGGAAACCTTGCAAATAAGTGATGTTGCACTGTTGAAAACACAACTGCCTTGCAGCGAGAAGGTTCTACAGCTTCCTGTACGTATGTTAGGTTAGATAATCTGTCACCATAGGCATGAATGCTTGTGTGCATGCTTTTGCTGAGTGTCTCCCTGTGATTGACCACCGAACTGTCCATGATGGATGAATGGATACGTCTACATTTGAAAGCAATATGGTCGGAGATGTCTATTTTGCCTCCAAATGGAAACATTATTTTCAAAAAGAGTGGGACAGACAGACATTTCTTCTTTATATTCACCTGTGCAGCCCAGCTTTTTTTTCTTCTCTCGCTTAGTCACTTTGAAAACACGTCTTCATGATAAAACATGGTAGAGGCAGCGCAGTGCTTAAAACATTTTCTTTCACAGCAACAGGAATCATGTTATAATAAAATGCATAATGCAAAGCAGCTGATGAGAATGCTAACCTTTCTGTGTTACGGTTTGCATGCGATTAGATTAGATTAGATTAGATTAGATTAGATTAGATTAGATTAGATTAGATTAGATTAGATTAGATTAGATTAGATTAGATGAGCTTTATTGATCTCACAGCGGAGAAATTCACTGGTCACATATTGGCATAGTAATTAAAGGAAAATTCCAGTTTTTAACACTTTTAGCCCCTTTTCTGTAGTGTCCAGAATGAAATCGAATGCTAAATAAAACACTACAGGAACGGTTTTTCTTCACGAAACTTTTTTTGGAACGTCATTGAACAGCGCTGACGACCCGGTGAGTAGCATATTTTAAAAAAAGAACGTTTAAGGTTGTTTTAAGGACATTATCGGACATGCACTATGGAAGCCATTCTGAAGCAGCCAGGGGGGAATTCTGCATGAGCCAAAAAGCAGAGACAGGAGCAATCGTCAAAATTTTGGTGTCGATCATTCGATTTCATCCTGGACACTACAGAAAATGGGCTAAAAGTGTTAAAAACCGGAATTTTCCTTTAAAGAAGGTGCAAACAAGGAGGAAAAGGTGCATTAAGAATAAACATGTATCACACAAAATGAAGAAAAAATAAAAAATAATAAATCAAAATAATTAAGAATACAAGGGAGTAACGCAGAGATTTGAGGTGACATATGTACAATAAGGATGGCTTATATACACGTGGACTGACTTTTACATTAAAGTGTAGAGGTATGACGTACACAGCTCTATGGGTTTAATCATTGTCTTTGATTCATGATGTACAGCTGCTGAATTGCAACCCACTCCCCTGTGACTCCCAGCAAAATCCCCTCCCACTTCCAGCCACTGGCCTTCTCCTATTCGCGCATTTTTTTTTTTACTCTGTGCTTCCACTGAATTACAGGGTCTGACCATGAGATGGCGCTTCTCTTTAGATCTTAACATCCAATCATGACAAAAAGAATATTTTAGAACAAAGATTGATGTTTAAAGAGGAATTGTAGGGGACCAGCCAAGGACCAGCCCAGGGCCCATCAAGGAAGGAGGGGACATTTTGAATGGCTACTACTTTAAAACAACCGACAAAGGCATAAGCACTCCAATCGATTGCCCACAAGGCAACAATCTGGAATGTTCTACTGTCTAAAATAGCTATCGTCACTCTGGGATGATAGATTTTAAAATAAGTAGCCCCTATGACTATGATGATGATATTCATTGCTGATGACGTCTATTCTTGGCATTATGTTACCACATATCTGTATGCTTCAACAATTTTGTTTTTGTAAAGGTGATCTTACAGTATATGCTTATTAAAAGAGCAAGCCAAGGAGGAGAACATTCTCAGGCCTTAAAATCTTACTATTACACTTCTGCCTGCAAATGCTACAGATTACAATCGACTCTTGTCAACACATTGCACAAACTATGCACATTTTATTCCTTCAAAAACTGCCATGACAGCTTTTCTCCCCCGAAGCTACTTTGCGAGTCCATCTTTGGATTGGCAGGTTTTTTTTCCGGTGCATTGATTAAATTTGATTAAGGGTTTCAGCA